GGTGTTTTTTATTTTTTTTTTTTTTTTTTTTTTTTTTTTTTTTTTTTGGTGGTCTCTAATAAAAATACTGAGCAAGGGACTCGGGGCATGGGGCTGCCCCATTGACTCAGCCAGAACCTCTGCTCCCCTGGGGGAGCACCCAGAGCTGGAGACCCAGGAGAGCCTCCCGCATTCCTCCTGGCCTCTTGGCATTCCTACTCTCCTTGGCTGTCCCAGAGGATTCGTGAACTGCTCCTGGCCTTCTCCCAGCACTTCTGAGCCTCCTGGCAAAGGACCCCAGCCCTTCAGTCACCTGAGTCCTGTCTCAGGCAGCACATCTCCACCAGCTGCCCCATGCACACTCCTCAAAGCAGCCTGAGTTCAGGCCCAGACTCACGGACAGAAGGGAGCAGAAAGTTTTGTGGAATTTATATGTATTTATAGTGGACTTCGCTCAACCTGGAGCACCCCACCGCTTCCTGGCTCTCCAGGGACTTGTGCCAGGTGATGCTTCGGGTAGGTTTTTACCTGCCTCCTCGTACGACGGTGCCTTAAACCATTTAGGGGAGCATGAGGCCATTGGGGTTGCACAGGAGCATCTGTCCTGCAGAGGAGAGGGAGGGGAGGACAGTGGCTTTCCAGGACCATCTGCAATGGGGCTTTCTTCTCCCTGCGATCAGGAGCCCCTCTGGGTGTCTGGGGATGCGTGTCCCCACCCACCCTGCTGCTCTGTCCTCCAGCTAGCAAACGCCAGTGGCCTTTTTAGCCTTTTCTCTAATTTATTCTCCTCCCCATCCTGCCTTCCCTGAGGTGCAGCGGGAGGGGAGAGATGGGCCCTACCCAGCACAATCCCAGCCCAAGCCAACGAGGCAGATACATCCAACCCAGTAACCCATCCTGCTTCACCCTCACTGGCCCTGTGGGCATGGACTGAGCCCTCTCCCACCGGGAGCATCCCACCCAGCCTGGGGCATCCTGGCAGGGCTCAGGGGAGGGCAGGCCGGGATGGAGGGGCTGCCCGCGGCAGGTACCGGAATGGGGCAGTGTTGCTGCTTGGCAGGTGGCTTGTTTACTGTGTAAGCAAGATGGATGGGAAGTATCTCATACAAGGGAGACTTGTGCAGGAATAAATTTTAGCTTGAACAGAGCGCTGTGTACATGTGCTTGTCTCTGGGCGGGCAAACAGTACCATGGCTCCAGCAGTGGGAGGGAAACTGCCACTGGTGCTGGAGCAGCCTGCCTGGACATGGCTCCA